ATAAAACATAATTATTTCCGAAACGTTGCAAATAAATAACATATTTAGAAAACTTTGTGATTTTTTTACTGATTGTAAACAATTTGTAAAAAATAATATCAAGCAAAATTTTGGATTTATATGATCATTAGTATTGGGAATCTTATACATACTATGAATATAATTCAAAAATTTATTTATGCAAATACTATATTGCAAAATATTTTATGAATCGCGACAGGTTTTTATATAAATAGTGAAAATAAACTTCGAATGCTGAATTTGTAATAATTAATACAAATTAATACCACACACACACGATGGAATTCTTCGGCTTGTACAAGGCCACATTATGTTAAAAAAGTTAATTCTAGTGAATTGAATGTGGGTGGTTACAGTTGCTGTGACATATATTTGTAATAGAAGTAATAAAATAATCGTTTGTCATGGCAATGGGAATTTTCATGAATTTTATTGGATAATATAAATTATTTCTATTTCCTAAATAATAAATGAAAAACTGATCAGGGAAGATGCAAAAGATATTTAAAGGATTTTGGGCTTCGAAGGAAAAAGTGTAAAGGTATATGAAACCCATCAAGTTTATAATATTGTCAATAATATTGTCATTGCAACCGACGCAGTAAACAGAAGTGTGCAGATGCGTCATTTTTGTCAGGCAATATAAAACTGATATAAAATTTCGGTTAGTTAATTTTAAGTTTTAAATAGTTTATTTTGTTACAAATTCATAAAAATATTTGACACTGTGTAACAATTTTAGTGATTGCTAAATTGTTTAAATATTGTTCTGATTAATGTAAAAAAATCACACCTTGGGTTAGGTATTTTATTTGTATTAATTTTAGTTTACATTGATTTATGAAAAAAATTATTTAGAAACAGGTAAATTTTCTCAAAAATGAGTGAAGAATAATTTACTAAGGTATTGTTGTTACAACTTGTCTTGGTAGATTTTACAATTAGTCCCAAACACGGGGTAAGTTGCAACACAACACTTTTTCTAGAAAATGATTAATTCTGAATTATGGTTATGGAATAATTTCTACTTGATTTGGTAAAGGAATAGTTAAAACAGTGAATCTCAAGATGCATCTCTTAAAAAATTGTTCAAAAAAGCTCCTAGCCCCTCTATATTTTTTATTCCTAGTAATTTTGGTATTGCACGTTTTATCAATCTACAAATCAAAATATGCCAAACAAATAATTAATTTCTCATAACACCGATGGACGTAATACAAGTACCTTTCTAATCAATAATTAGAAAAGATTAAGTTATCAATATAAACAAAATTTAATTAAAAATTTAAATCAATATATGTAGTTATTTCTCATAATAAATTTTTACGTTCTATTTATATCTAAAGACAATAATAACGTGTCACTCATATTTCTTTGAACGTAATATTGGTGTTTTGTTTGAACAACTTATTACAAAAGGTGTACTAACATATGTAAATTTATGATGAATAATCGGTAAACGATGATTCATATGGATATGTGATTAATACTGAGGTAAAAAAACGTGTTTATATATTTATATTGTCAACTTATCTATTTACACGTCGCATTAATGTGAATAACATTGCAACGTGGACAATCAATAGCTACGTATTAATTTATTTAATAATAAATTCAAATCGGTTGATCTGTGCGCCCGAAAACGTGTACCAAAAATTGTATCCATATATATGTACATACACACACACTCATCCATTTTTTTAAGGTATGCCAAAATGTTCAAAAAACTTCAAAACTTGAAGAAATGCAAAAATTTTCAATTTCGATTTTTTGACGATTACAATAACTACCCTACGGGAAGTAATAAGAATAATAAATAATGGTGATGGAATTTTTGTAATTAGTGTAGCAGTCTTTGAGAAAAAGTCAACAAGAAGTCAAGTTCTTCTCTTTCGGTAATCTCAGTATATACTATGATTAGTACTTTTTTATTCCTATAATCTCGATATGATTTTATATCCCGCATTTAAAAATGCAATGATAATAAAAAGGTAACAATATACGATGTAACAGATATAAATACCTGAAATTGATAACTGTAATGTATGTAAAGACGGTTATGGCTAATTATAGGTTATTAAACGTATTGATAGCAGTATCGAGCTGAAAATTTTAATTTATTTCGTACGGTACTTAAAATCGTTTGATGAAAGGTAGATAAACGATAAATTTTATATATATATATATATATATATATATACATATACATATACATACATATATATATATATATATATATATATATATATATATATGAAAATGACCTTTGAATAGGCATTCATCCAAATAATAGAGAGAAAACTAAATTATGTTCCTACAATTTCCATACGTCTCAATTTTACTCTTCTTCGTCAAGTTTAAAAAAAAACACAAATGCATAAAGAATATCTTAAATCAACGAAATACTTTAATAGCAAATTAATTCATAAAGAATAATTAATTAATATATAAATGTAATTAATAATAAAAATGTAATTAAGAATAAAAATGTAATTAATATTACACAACTTTCATTCTGATCGACGAATGCAAAGCAATTTTTTGTCGAATTGTATGGAAGTCTATTATCTTTTTTCCCAAATTTTCTACATAAATCTCTTACATATACGAGGTCTGTTCAAAAAGTACCCGGAATTTTCGTTTTTTCAAAAAAATATTTATTTATTCGTCTACATTAATGTGGTCCCCTTCAAAGTAGTCCCCCCCAGATATAATACACTTATGCCAGCGTTTTTTCCAATTTTCGAAGCACCCTTGATATTCACTTTTTGATATGTCCTTGAGCACTCTCAGCGATTTTCTTCAATCGAGGAAAACCGCCGTCCTTTCATGGGTCTCTTCAACTTTGGGAATAGGAAAAAGTCACACGGAGCCATATCTGGTGAATTTTTGCACTTTGCAACACTTTATTTCATTTTTTACGCAAAATTTAATACAAATTCTTTGACTTTTCAATTCTTCCATTGTAAAAATCGCCGAGCTCAGAAAAACACGTCGAACCTTAGCGACTACCACAGACAAAGTAAACAGTGAGTATAGCTGAAAATTTCATCATACTTTAGGGGCATGTATACCAACACAATAAAAAAAAAATTTGACAATCAGACACTCCAGACCCGCGAAATTTAATTATTAGTAATTCCGGGTACTTTTTGAACAGACCTCGTATGTACATATATTTTATAGATTTTGCCTATAATTTTGTGTTATTAATAGTTAATATAATATACATTAATAATAATAAATAAGAGGGCCTAAGCCACGATGCAAAAACTTCATATAAGATCTGTATTTTCAAGCGTTGGGCTCCAAAGGCATTAAATCAATTTGTATCTATATGCCTGAAAATTCTATTACATATGTATTAATATTTCATGCGAGCCGATATATAATTATATGTCATCATAATCATTATAAAATATATTTGTAATTATTATTATTTAGCCATTTCCTCAGGCTATCAAATTTATTATAATGAATATGAAAGCCTTAAGGCTAAATGCGAGAACTTCCTATTAGATTCTTATTAGATCTGTCTCCCAGCCCTAAAGAAAATAATTTATAAATGGAATCTATATAGCTGAAATAGTCTTTTTGCTTTGAGTTATTTAATTAATTATAGGTGATAAACAAATACCAATTTTTGAAAAAATAAGAAATTTACTTTTCTCGAGTCAGCAAACCAATTTGTAAAGTTTAAAACTAATGTATGGGCACAACATTTTTAGAAAGTTAATGTGAAAATGGTTGGAAAACATTGTGTATTAGATAAATTAAAATTAAAATTTCGCAAACCCGAAAAATAAAACTCGGATGTAAATTACATCCGTTTATTATTATTCATTACTATTTGTCATCAACAAAGAGTTCGTTTTTTATTGAGGTCACTGACAATAAATTTTACTATGTTTTTTCGCATTTATTGTCTGTTGTTGGCAAATATTTAAATTATGGAATTGTAAAAATTACATGACTAGAACAGCAATAAAAATAAATTGAGAACAATTGATAATAGCAATTTTCAAAATTTCATTTAGGTCAGCGACAAAAATGTAATCGAATATGAATTACATCTGATTTTTATTATCCTTTGCATTTTCCATATAAAAAAATCATAAATTGAGGTCACTGATAATAATTTGTTAATTAATTTTTGTTAGCAAATATTCAATTTATGGCTTTTTAGAAAAATAGTATGAGTAAAACAGTAATAAAAATAATTTGAGAACAAATGATAATTGGTAATTATCAAAATTAACATTTTTTTGTTCAATAGATATTTACTGTACCATACGATAGTAAACCAAAACCAAAATTTCAAAGAATTTTTGGCTACATCACAGAATTCACACCTCAAATTAAAAAAAATATGCATATACTGCAATAAAAATTAATAAAGTAGTTTATGTGCCCATCCTTTAAAAAATAAATTAAAAAAAACTTGAGGACATGTTAGGGTCTATTAAACAACTAGTAGTGTATGGCATCGTGCCTTAAGGCAAATTGCTGGAACTTGCTTTTTTGGGCAATAAATATTTATTGTATCGTATGAAAACCAAAACCAAACTTGGGGTCATGTTGGGGTCTATTTAAAAAAAAAACTTGAGGTCATGTTAAGCCATAGGGTTCACAACTAATTAATATTATTATATAACAAAAAAGCTTAATACCTAATAGATATTGCATTAAAGACTACCGCAATATTTCTTTAGGTGGTACGACTTAAGCAACTCTATCCTATTTAAAAAAAATTTTTGAAAAAAAAATATTTGGAATCAACAAGATTTTGTGAACATCTTATATAATATAAGATATCTCCTACAACTATCTGCTTGGATCGTCCATGTTGGCCCTTTAATTTTGATCAATTACGATTTTTACATTTCTAAAATTATATGTATCTAAATAGAACATTTGTTATTAATTACTAAAAAAATAAAATCATTAAAATACTAATATATGTCATTTATTTCCAGATTCGAACATTTTTCCAACATTGGCCCTAAAATTCCTCCAAAATGCAGCGCTCTATCCAGAGCCCTGGGCCTCTGACCCCATCCCACATACCTTTGCCGAAATATTCCCTAAATAGAAGCCTTACCTCTAATCTCAACGGAAGCCAACATGAATACATGAATGGTGACAACAATAATACAGAGGCTTCCAGGTGGAAATATAAATATGAAGAAGCAGAAAAGGCTAGGAAGCTGTTGATCACAAAAGCAGAAAGATGTAAGTGAAATATGTATATTATTTTTATAAAATTTCTTAAAGAAATTATTTTGTATTACCTTAATGATTTTCCTGTGCGAAAGTAAAAGTGATATTAAAAAGAAAAGTAAAAGTTTCAAACACAATCACTTGTAGTAAGGAATGTCTATATATTTTATGCGAAAAACTAACGCAATTTACGAGCCGATATGCAAATCAGTTTATTTTTAGTTTAATTGTTCCCGAAGAAAGTTGAACGACCAGTTCGCACAAAATTGTGATTGTAAATATCAAAGTTGATAGATTTGTTATGAAAATAATTTTTTTATAAAATATATATTTTTTTCAATTTTATTTTTTGTTTCATCATCTCTCTGTAGTAGACAAAATAAATTCATAGAAGAGGTCTTCAATACAACTATGCCTGTTATTTAAATTGTTTTTTTTTCAGTTTTGCTTGATTTTATTAGAATAATTCACAAATTGAATAAATATTTATCCAAAGTCTAGATTTGCCTTAATATAATTTTAATATATTAAAGCATATTTGGTCTTTTTGTTTAACACGTTAATCGCCACGATGATGTCGAGCAAAATTTTTAAATGAGCTATGGTAACATTTCTAGATAATTTAGTTAAAAATATATCGAGACTAGTAGTGCATTGCATCGTGACTTAAATTTGACTATGTTGAAAAATTTGATTTTTTTATATTTTGATTTATTTTGAAAATTTTAGACATTTTTTTAAGCATTCGCGCTGCGTAGCTGATTTGGAGTCAGAATTTGTATTCGCACACACACACACGCATAAATCCATTTTTTGCAAATGTTCAGAAACCCCTGCAACGTAAAGATATATAAATATTTTCATTTACGATTTTTTTGCAATTACTACTTTGCTTTCCCTAAGGAAAGTTAAAAACATGATAAAAAATTGAGCAAATTCATATATATCTGACTGACATGTTAAATTAAATTAACTCTATATTGAAACTTCTTTGTGACCTTTTACCAAATTGCATGTCAGACATGGCTCATGTAGGACTTTTTAGCGTCAGACACATATAACTCACAGGACGATTATTCTATTATTTTCCTCTCATGGTTTTATAATTTTCCGTTTCATGTCGACAATGTATTACATTTTGTTTATTAATCAATAAATATTGGAGACAATATCGGGACCTTTACTTCATTAACAACTTTAGGGCAATAAACTTATGATACACAACTTTCTAAATTGACATTCATAAAAAATCCATTCACACGCTATAGACAAATATGCATATTTAAATATACATAAAAAACAGAACTAGTTGATATTGGCATTTTGCCTTAAAACAAGTTACATGAACTTTCCGATATCTGTAAATAATCGACTTATTCAATAAAAAATAAATTAATTTATGATTAATTAAAAGTATTTCTAGTGGATTTATTGCACCTAATTGAAAACGAACGAACACTATTTCGTTATACCAAGTGAATCGTCTAATTTTAATTTTAACAAACGTCAAAAAAAACTACACATTTTCTCAAACTTTGATGAATTTTTAAAATTAAACTACTTGTCGTAAGGCCGTAATTTCAGTAAGTTCTATAAGACCATGATGTATATCGCCAGAAAAAGATCCATAAAAATCGTCTTAAATTTTTTTTTTTCAACAGTTAATTACAATTTTCATCTAAAACTAATCAGTACCATTCCCAACTAATATCTTTCAAACAGCTTATGATTTTTTAAAATCGATTCGGTAGTATGAGCTTAAATGTAGACGAAAGGTTTAACACTTTTTTCAAATTACAATAAAAGCCTCGGCAGATCGTCTCACAAAAGTGACAAACGATAGTCCTCAATGAGATACATCAAATGGCTTTGTGGAATTTGTAGATTTCGAACTCTGACATTATAAAAAATTGGATTTTTTCCAAGTGAAATTTGGATTTTTTCCAATGAAGTCAAGTGTGTTATACATGATAAGAGCATATCCTGGCAAAATACCATAAAAGCTCTAGTATTTTATAATTTCTGCGAACATCCTCAAAATTCAGTTAAAAATTATCACTGAAACTTTGTACATTGCAATAAATTAAATTGTTTTTTTTTTCTTTAGAATTTTTTTTGCTTTTTTTAATGGGAATAGAAATCAATAGAAAAAATGTAATACTTTATTTTTTTATTATTGAATGATTTTCGACCTCACTACTAATTCTCAAATTTTCTGTATTTAAACATTTTATGATTGGCTTATTGAAAGAGATTTGTATAGTAGGAAAACATCAGTATACTTAAGTCTTTTGATAATGAAAAACGATTTTATGAAACTTGGATTTTTTTCAATGATATTTAGTATTTTATACATATTCTGGCTATATACCATAAAACTCTACTATTTTATAATTTTTGCATCCTCAATGTTCAGTTGCAAATTATCACCATAGCCTTGTGCTGAATGTTTTCATGCAATAAATTCAAATCCAAGTGCATAAATGCACTTGCCAAGGATGCATTTTAATTCTTATGGTCATCTGTACATTTTTACTCATTTTATTGCACATTGTATTATTTGAGTTTTGGACCAGAAATAAAAGACATAGATGTATACATTTCATTATTTGAACAGAATTTATAATGTTATATTATTTTAACAAAATTTGTGATGATAATGAGTATTAAAATAAATGCACGATTGAAAATTTGAACTTTAATTTATAAAAAAATGAATACAGGACATGGATTTAGTCAAAAAATATATACACCTGATTAATTTATGTACTCTAATTTATGTTTTTTTTTTTAAAAAAAAATAGATCTTTACTACAACTTTTTAGTTACAGGTGGTATTAAATTCTTCAAATTCCTTAAAGCCAACAATTTTTTTCAAAAACAATATTATTATTTTTAAAGAATGGATAGAAGTCAGGTAATACTCGTAGGCGGCTATAAAATATAAAATTTCCGAAATAACAAAAAAAAACTAAGTTTCATCCTTTCGTTATAAAGATTCCAAAGTGATTTTGTATAAATATAAGAAATATATTTTCATGATTTTGACATTGATCGTCTCGACGAAGCAAAAAATAAAAACAAGTTGCAACCAATAATTTCCTTATAAGTCTTCATCAGAGGCAGACAACATTCTTTAATTATTCATAAAATAAAAACTGAAGTGACGCAAAAATGTTGTTTTTGTGAAAACAATTTTGCTTTGTAATGATTTTCAGATTTTCAATAATTGCATACGAATAAATTAACAATTTATAAGAGAGTTTAATGAAATTATAAAATCTGTAGAATTTGTCTAAATTAAATTTTATTTTGTAACAAAACGCAGTTGTCAAAATTTTACGTGATTAATTGGACAGATATAATTGACAGTTTTTTTTATAAAAATACTTAGTGAACTAATTTTGTCAAAAGTATATCTTGTTCATTTTTTGAAGGCGAACACTCTATTCTACTAATGTATGTATATAAAAATATTTTTTTATTCAAAGTTTATAAGAATTGAAATATTTGGATATCAAATTAAATTTGAAAAATATTTTCGAATTTAATATAAACAATTCTCAATGTATTTTACCGAAATTAATGTTAACTTATCGACACCATTGATAACCAATTTCTAATTAAAATTGATTAATTTTGTTGTTAGAAAACCGAAAGTTAAATCTACGTTATACTGATATTACTTATTATTCAATATTAGAAAGAATTAACTATGACCAAAAATTAAAGTAAAAATATTAAAAAAATATTATTACCAATAATGGAAAATTCAATATTTGTGCTGAGTCAATCACTTTTTTCCAGTTTAGTTACGTTTCGGATTTTTGATTATGATTCATTATTTAAATATCATTAAATATTTGTTTATAGTTTGTAAATATAATTTTTTGTACAGGAAAAGGTTGACTACATTAGATAAAAAAAATTAACACACAAAAAAGCTTATGGTGTTTTTTGTAGGCGTATTTGCAGACGAGATTTTGATGCGTCATATATATCACAGAAGCAAATAGTACAAAAATTGAATTTATAATATTCAAAGGCAAAATGAGGCTGTAAAGTATTATTTGTGATTTAGAATTGGTAATTGACACATTTTAAGAATAGTATATATAATTACGATTTGTTGAAACAAACAAGTTTAGAATCTACTTCGCCTAATTATGTAAGGAAATATATCCTTTAAGTTTACAAATTCCAGCTTTTTAATTAACCCTTCGTCGGGCGCAGCCGATCTGACAGATACAGAGCCAATAATTTTTCATGCTGCGCCTTGGTTGAATGTTATAGAAACCTCCACTCTTCAATAGCCTCCTAATTTTATATGTTTTAGTCATGCGTCTTTATCATTTTGTGTTTGACCTTCACATATAGTGGCAATCGGTATTTTGATCCTAGAGATACACTGCGCCCGAACGTGCAACGTTTTGATACGTACGAATATTGCAATTTTTTGTGCATGTAAGTATTCTTTTTCTGTATTTTTTACGTATTTTTGAATATATATCTTAATACTTTTCATTTAATTGAAATTTTTTGAAAGTATCTACGAGATTCACTGCGCCCGAATGTGTTACTAACTTGAGTCCATACATTTTATAGGCTAGTAAATATGGTGAGTGGTAAAAAAATATATAATTTAGAAAAACCAGCTCATGCAGAAGAGATTCTAAGAATGCTGAATGATGATGCTAATGAAAATAATCTTCTTGACGGTTTAGGCGATGAAAGTGGAAGTGACGAAGACCATCTAGAGAGTCGCAAAGTCGATTCTGAGACAGAACAAGAGGACGAACAGGATGAAAGTGAGGAACAAATAAATTTGAACAATAATGCTAAATATTTTATGAGTAGAGATAAATCTACAAAGTGGTGTAGCAAACCTCCCTCTAATAGGATTCGAACAAAATCCCAGAACTAATTAAGACATTTACCAGGTGTTATAGGAAACGCAAAAAATGCTGCAACGCCTATAGAATGTTGGAGTCATGGTAAGAAAGATCTCCGAAGAAGATATTTTTTGAGACAATTATCGCATGAACTTCTAGAAGTGAAATCACGAGTGGGATTCCGTTCACTTTGCAGGCAGGACTCAAAAGATTCAGACCAAATTCACAGGAAAATGGTTCACAATAACAAGAAGAGCCACAAAAAAACGGCGATGTGAACCGTGTACATTAGAAGCTAATATTAGACGGTTTTCAAGATTTTGTTGTGCTAATTGTCGAAAAGCACTGTGTTTACAACATGCAGTTTTCTATGCAGTGCTTGTTCAAATGCTTGTGTAAATCATGATATTTAACTATACACATTAAACTATCATTATTATATTACTTATTTTTAATAAAGTGACAAATGAAAAAAAAGTTAGAGACTGTGTATTTCAATAAAGAAAAGTGAATGTAAATAATTTGTGCATATATACACAGGTTTATATTTTTCTACATTTTATAATAAAATATTATTGAATTCTTTTTTTCTTTATTTATTCAAAAAGTATACATTCTGAAATATAATTAAACAAAGAATAAACATGTTTATAAAATAAGGAGCCTCCTGAAGATATACTTAAAAACCGTTGCTGTCGGATACACTGCGCCCGAACGTGTGCGTAACGGGACTGCGCCCGACGGAGGGTTAATGAAGATTTACAGACTTTTTCCATATATTTTTTTTAAATAAAAAGGTATATTGAGAAATAATACAAATAAGCGACATAAAAAACAAACATTATGTTCTTGTGATAAATTTATATTTACTAATGATAAATTTATTATGCAAAATGTCTAAAGCCAACAATCAACATTCAGTCAATTCAGTCAGTCAATGTCAAATTTCTATTTTTAATAGAACAAATTCGAAAAGATTGGACAAATTAAAATGTAAAATGATGTTTTAGCCAGTTTTAGCATTGATCATGAAAATAATATACAACTTTATTATTTATAATCTGATATATATTTTTTTCAATTTTTTTTTGTAATTTTTTAGCAATTACTTTAGAACGGCTAGATGATGACACGTACTTTGAGCCGAAACGTACAAACTAAATATGTTTTATTATTTATTGTCATTTCATTTGAACCTATTAGCAGCATTTGAAAAATGTATCAACGTCAAATAAAAAAAATCTCAAGAGACAATCCAGTAAACATATGAGTCACATCTTTATCTCGTTGCAAATTGCATCTTTTTCCATATATGTAAATAAAACGCACATTTTTAAGACTTAACATTTATACCAAAAATAAACAAATAAACTACTTTGTTCGTTTGACATTGGATTAAAATCACCAAGTCCCTTCTCCATGTTAATAACAAAATTGACTTGTATTTCGAAGGCCATCACATGACTTATTATCTGTCTTATATATCCTGCTACATTAAACGCAAAAATGTTGATATTTAATGATTCATAAACATTTTGATTTATATGTCTTTGTTTATAAACTAGAAGCAATTTTTTTTTTTGAAGAGACGACCGTGTCTTAATAAGAAAAATGCCTTTTGTTGTTCCAGCACGTAAGCAATAGTTCAACGAGCGTAACTGAACTTCCTGACGAAATAAAAAGCATCTGCCTTTTTCTCAGATGTAGAAAAATAGCTTTTGAATTGTCTCGTAATAAATAATTAAACTCGTTCACTAAAGGTTACACACCTTTCCTCTTAGCTAAAAAGGTCCTTTTTCATGGACGTGAGAGAGAGTCCTCTATTGTCACACTAGGACTAGGCATCACTCGTAAACTTTTATAAATTTTCTTGTGGATTTTTATCTATTTACATACCATTTAGATATACCATTTTAAATATGGTTAAAATAAGTATAATGATTATATTTTTTTATTCCAGTTGCCAGATCCTTAGCAGACCTGGAGAGGAAACATCAGCAATTATCAGACGAATTCACATTAACTAAACACGAGCTGAGGGATAAGGATGCCCAATTGAACTCTTTAAGGACTGTTTCTGAAAAAGTTTACAAGGAATACGAAACACTCAAGAATCAATATGATGTTGAGACCGGAGCAATGCATAAGTAAGGATAATGTAGAATATCTATATTTATATCTATCTCTATTTGTCTATAATATATCTAAAAATTTCTGAGTACGAATAATCAACGATTCCACACAATTTCTCAAACTTTGAAAATAGGAAAATATTATTGGTAGTATTATATATAAGTCATAAGGGGGCGTCTATTAATCATGTGAGGTTTTTAGGGGTAGGGGGAATTAGACAAAAAATCACGTGCGAGAGGAAGGGGTCTAGTATATCACGTGTATTTATTTTCTATCTGAATTAAAAAAAAAATCCAAAATTTTACGATTTTTTTTGTAAATTCGAAAAATTTGTTCGAAAAATTTTACGCAACTAAGAATACACGTAATGATTGGTGGGTGAGGGGGGTAATTTTGAATATCACTGGTCCAAAAATCTCTAAAAAATCGATCACGTGATTAATGACGCTTCCTAAGTATTCGGCCTAATAAAAATCTATTCTATACATTCACAAATATTTTGGACAAATAAATAAATCCTAATGTCAACTCGAGTACTAGAGATTGACCAACAAATGTTCCTAAATTTTTTTCAAATTTTGACAAAATGCTAGCAAAATCATTTTAAGACAAATGAGACGACTTTTTTAAAATAATTTTATGCCATTAGCATTCTTATACTAAAAAATTCATGCTTTGTATATTTTTTTATCCAGATTTTTGTCTGAATGTTGATTATTTTTAACCGCCAAATGGCATTTTTTTCTAACCTTAGGGAAAATTAATGAAACTTAAAGGCAAATCTTCCTGAATTTTTTTCAAATTTTGACAAAATGCTAGCAAAAATATTTTTAAGACAAATCGGAAGACATTTTTGGAATAATTCTGTGGCATTAGCATTCATACTAAAAAATTCATGCTTGGCATATTTTTGATTCAAATTTTGTCTGAATGTTGATCATTTTTGACCGCCAAATGGTATTTTTTTCTAATCTTTTTTTTAAATCTCAGAAACCGTGGACCTGTTTTTCAAAAATTTCATCAATTTTTTATTCCATCAATTCAAGTAAAATGTTTTTTGAATTATTCAAATCGGACGCTCCTCTTTCTCAAAAAGTAAAATACCATTTTTTGCACTATTTGCTCCGTTTTTTCGAAACGTCTGGACCTGTCTTGACCAAAAACTAAGTTACTAATTTACAACTACTAATCAGCACGTATCCCCATCAATAAAAGTCGAATGTTTTTTGAATAATTCAAATCCAATGATCCGTGCTCTCGAAATCGTCGACAAAAAATTGTATCCGCACATACATACATATATACATCATTTTTCTCTAAGATTTGCGAAAATTTTCAGAAACCTTTGATACGTAAAGATATACGAAAATTTTCATTTCGGATTTTTTGCAATTACTATAATTTACTCTACGGGTAGTTAATAAATAATTCATATTTGGCAAAGATCAAAATATATAGAAATATCTTATGAAATAAAATAAAAAATATTCAAATAAACATACTTTATTTGAAAACTTACAAATACATTTAAATTATTAAAGTTATTCCTCATCTCGTTCCATTACCTTAATTTTAACCACAGTGTTAACCATCTCCAATTGGTCATGCCTTTTTATATATAGAATTCATTAATAAATTTCAATTATTCTTTCAAAATTCCATCATCACCAACGGTTGTAGCAATATCACGAAGTGCTGGAACATTTTTCACGACATTTAGGAACTCCTTAATATTGCAACAAGTGGTTTGTCCAATTTCTGCATTTTTGTAGTTATCATTAAGTTTTAGATTCTCAGCCCAAGCTAGATCTTCGCAAACATTTCTACACATATTGGTTGTGGAACCTTCTAAATCGTTTCTGATGATAAAGGCAACAGCTTTTTGGGATTCCCTTTCGTAGACAACTGCCCAGTAATATTCAGGAATTGGGAAGGATCTCTGAGTTCTTCTTGTTTTTAGATATAAATCTGTTAGTTTTCCTTTACTGTTTGTTAGTTGTGCAGGTGTTTGGGAAACTCCAGAGTATACTTCCAAAGTTCGTTGATGTTTTCTCAATTTCCTAATATCCTGTACCAAGTTTTCGAAGTTACCATATAGAACATTGTCCCAAAGGGTTATAAGATTATGTGCTCGTCTACTGACATCCTTGAATTGTGCGTGCAAATGCTCCTTGGGGATAAGGGATACAGTATACAAAACATTTTCACGTCTTACATGACCTTCTCCTAAAAGTTTAGTGACTACTTTATTGATCTCGTCTGATCGATATACTGATAAAATATCGACTGCTGACATATATGGCGCAGGATCCAAATCCTCATTTTCGAGGAATTGTGGTGGTAAAGCCACTTTATAATGAGAATAAACAGGTATATTGCGATCTATATCATAACAAGTTTCCGCCACTGTGGACAAATCTTGAGAGCCTGGTTTGTGAAATTGATATTTAGCCAAACTGCCGCTACATTTCGTGGACAAAACAGGCTTTAGTTCCAAAACACGAAGTTGGCAAGATATTTCCGAAGGCTGAACAGAATCATTAAAATTAATACTTTCAAATTTTTTTAAAAAAATCAATTATCTATTACCTCTACACTTTGTCCATTTTCATCCACCAGCTGACCATTTCTACAATGGGCAATCACACTGTGAATGGTTTCGTCTGTGATTTCATGTTGTTTGCATGTGAAAATCACGCTATTTCCTGAAGGAACTTTGTAAGCACCTTCGTGATTTTCCAAAAGTAATTCCGTTTCGTCGGCATTGTAAAGTAAAGGTCGGAAAGCGGCTCCTTTTTGTGGGAAAACTATGCTACATTTTTCTGAAAGAGAAGAAACAATTTGAAATAAGATAAAGGTCGGAAGGCAGTGGAAAAACGAAGTTGAAAATCAAAATTTGGGTTTGCGAAAATTTTTGCTTGCTAATTTAATATAGAACATAAAGAAACAGATCAGAAACAGCAGTTGTGAAAAATTGTGCGAATTTTCCTAAACAGCGTTATTAACACTCCAAGGACAGATTTTGTACTAATATTAAAAATACCAAAGTAAATAATGATTAAAGAAAGTTATCCAAGAACTTTGTTGTTTTTCAGCAAATATGATAAAATTAATAAAGACAGTTATCCAAGAGCCTTAGAGTTATCTATCAAATGGTCAAAAATAATAAAATTAATAAAGAAAATTATCCAAGGGCATTTGCGTCATCCGAAAAATAGCAAAGAAAAAAAAGTTTATTTATCGAATTCAGGGGCTAATTTTCGGATAAAATATAAATGTTATGGTAATGCTATGTTGCGGGTCTATTTTCGTATGAATTGGTAGTAACACACCATCAAAAATCTATGTATTTGCTGTTCGATCAGATGTTTTACACATAAAACATAACCTGCAAAACGCACAACGTTAAATAACTATTTTATCATAATGTTTTTTTTAAGTAAAATTTTTTTAAGCGCAACTAGGGTGTAAATCTGTGAGCATGCAACGAAAATAATGCTCTCGGTGAATTTCTATACGGTTCGATTGTGATTATTCGTCGTATATGTGAATAGAGATCTGTCGTTGTATGCGTGCCGGCATCAACGTTGTATGCGTTCCGATATCAACAAATAAATTGGCATAGATAAATAAACATTTAAAGTTACATCGTACTATGAATCTTGATTTAATGAAAAATGCCTGAATCAGAAAAACATTTTACCCTGTTCCTCGTAAATAGTTATAATGAAAATAATAAAACATATGAAACATTTGTGCCGTGTACTAAACGTAAGTTTATTGAAATAATTTCTATATTATTCGTAGTTTCTATAAATCTTTGAAGTTATTAAAATGGAAAATATTTTTTAGACAAGACAGATATTGCAGCTGTTCAAAGAATGAGATTATATCGCCAGCAAAAAAATAAAAAAATACAAGCAGTCAATGAATGTATGTTAATTTTAATTACATAAAGTTCTTCAAACACAATTATTACATGATGAGTGAAATTGTGAAAACAATATTTGTTTAGGCGTTGTTTAACATAATTCACTGTGTGAACGAATATTATAGAATTTATTAATCAGAAATTACTTTATTTCTCTATTGAAGGTTCAAGTCGTAAATGCTAATTACAATGACAAACCGATCATGTCGAATTTGAAGTATGACTTTAATTGCATTATTGTTCTCAAATATTATAAATATGTTTAATGCTATGCTCCTGAATGTATATTTCTCGAAAATAGATTTTGTTATAAATATAAAAATACTGTAGAATATTAAGATTTGTTAAATTGTTCTTGAGTTTGACGGTAAATCTTTATTGAACTTTACTGAAATGATTTTTATTCATTAACCACGGTTAAATTTAATTGATTGCCGACTTATTGCGAAGCATTATAGTAGTACATTAAATATTCCCATTAAAAACATATCATTTATTATTATTACATACCCTCTGCAAAAGTTGTTCCAACCAAAAGAGCAGAGCAAACTAATATACACACTGAATTCATTTTGTAGACTGTTATGATTTCTGGTCGAGAGCAATAATTTATAATACTGTCTTTGAGATAAGAAGATGAAATTATTGGAAATTATAATTCATAATAACAAAATAGGCGTAGTTTATATCCCAGAAGTGATATTCTTCGAGGAAATGGAGGAATTTTGGGTAAATTCGGTCTTAAGTTAGACTTTTGTCTATGGTTTCCATCCCAGATAAATTTACTATCTGTGGAAAATAAATATAAAACGTAACAGTGGTTAAAATTACTCATATTTGAGTAAAAAAAATTTTTTTTGAAATTTTGTACTCCAAATAAACATCTATTTTATATCTCAAAAGTAGTTATCATTCTCAATTTTTTTCTATATCTATCAAAATTTACCCAAAAATGTTTCAATGTTTCCATATTTTCATATGACAAATTAGATTTATAAATATGAGACATTTAATTTAGGAGGATGTGGAATAAAATAGTGGTGTATAAAGCAAATTTCTGGAAATTACCAAGGTGGAATTGCTAGATGAATATTATGGCAATATCTTCTTTGAGATATTTTTTTAAGAACTAAGTTTTTGGATACGTAAATTGCCCACGAAAAATTTACCTATTCAAAAATTTTGTTGAGTTGCCATAATATTCATCTAACAATTCCATCTTGAAAAATTCCAGGAATTTCTTTCATACACCACTAGTTTTTTCCACATCCTCCCAAATTGAATGTCTCATATTTATGAATCTAATTTGCGCACATATTACCCACATACAATATTGAGTGTGGGTAATTGCAAAATTAAACTGAGTCACCATAATTCTCAAGAAACCAACAAGTGATTCAAATGGCCATCTTAAAATAGAAAATCTAAATTTATTTGGATGAATACCATTGCGATATATCTCAAAATAATAATAAATAAAATAATAGAAATAATAATCAAAGGACTAATTGACTTTAATTAATAATTAAAGGACTTGATTTGAATTTGGCCTATTTGTCTAATAAAAAAAATTAAAATAAAAACATATTTTACTGATTGAACGTTTCGTCACTTGATGTGTGTCATCATTCAGCCAATCAAACCAGGACAAAAACAAAAACTTAAAACATTAGCAGCAATTGTTTAAATTTTTTTGAACTTTAATAAGCAAAACAACATGTACCTAATAAAATTGAAGCCTTAAATTAAAAAAGAGAGCAGGGGTAAAAAGATCCATTCATCACGTGGCTGAATGATGACACACATCAAGTATCGAAACGTATAGTCAATAAAATTATTTTTTAACCTTTTTTACAATTTTAAAATAAATTTCTAAATCATGAACCATCCTTTAAAGTGCAGAGAACTTGAGGTCAAAAGTTATCTGTCGACCAAACATTTCATGTTTAATAAATGTATATCTACATTTTTTTCAGAAGCTCATTTGTTTACATTTCATGTAATTATTGTTTGTTTACATTTCTAGTAATTATGTTTAAGTGTGAAAATGGTAACCAGATTTTTTTTAGTGTTTATCTTAGAATTAGATAAGGAAGAATACCGCAGAAATATGAAATAAAAATTATAAATTTAATTTATTTGTACGTGGCGGAAGTTACGAGAGCTTCAGCTTTGCTTTTTAGTTGAATTTCCGCGCTATGTACAACCTAATATCAAGCAGTAGTAATGTTCATTTTCAAAGATAGATAAAGTTCTACAAGATTATATTTTTCTGAGCTGTCTAATGTAAATTTAAACTTTTCAGAGCTATGCAACATGCAGGAGAATGGTATAAACAGAATCGTCAGTTGAAAAGACAAAGTGCAGTCCTAGTCCAGAAATATCTCCAAATCAAACCAAATGGATCCCTAGATATAGACATAGATGGTTCTACAGATACAACAGGTAAAATACGGAACTTAATATTATCAATAACATTTTATTTAACTCCACAATTTCCTTTAGATGGTCATGACGATTTGGAAGCTTTGAGGAAAACAGTGACTGATATGAGTTTAGAAATAGCAACTTTACAAACTGAACTAAATAATGCAAAACTTCAGGAGTTTGAAGCAACTGAACAGTGTGTTAATTTAACACAGGTAATAAAAGACAATTGAAATTATTTATATGTGCACAAATCATCATGGTTGTCTTAATTGAATTTTGACCAACACTCTTTAAAAGGTCTTTACAAAGTCGACCAATTTCGAAAATTTTGAATTCACAGTTAACAAAAGTCTTAATTCTTGAAAACATGGGTTAATATTTTGGGCTGTGTTTCTAGAAATATTTACAATTACGGATCCAAAGCTTAAAAATGAACAAAATTAATTAGAATTAACCATAATAACCGAAAAGTGGTCACATTTTCACTATTGCTCTTATTTGCACCTAAAAGCCTATAATTTTCAAACCATGTTAGATAATTGTTTCTCTAATTACAATTAATATCACCCCGTTTCGGCTTGACGTTGAATTCTGGGACATCCTATATATATTATATTAATTGTTTATCTAAATACATTATCTTTTCAGGAATTAGAACAAGAAAAGAAATTAAGAGCTCAATGTAACATCGAATTGGAAAGTTTAAGGCAATCCAGAGATCATTTGCAAAAGTTTCAAAATTAGTCGCAGATGAAGTAAGCGTTTTGCGTAAAAATGCCGAAAAGTAAGTTTATGAATCATTTTCAACATACTAAAAATCACAATATTTATTTCAACATTTCACTAAAGTTATGCATACTAACACTCCAAGTCAGTAGAGTAGGGCGGGGCTAGTTGAGCAAATTTCACTTAAACGGATGTAGCATCTCAATGAAAAGTCTCAAAAAAATTGTTATACGGCTTAATGGATTTGTTGTTTATCGCTTAACAAAAGTGTTAATACTATTTTTGGTAATAAATAAAATTTAAAAGCTACAGCTTTTTGAATGCAAAAAGCACTAAGAAAGTATAATAAAATCATAGGTTCAATGTCGTTTAGTGATGAAATAAAATAAGTTTTTAATAACCAGTTCAATATTTATAGTCTTTATTGACATAAAAAACAATACTTATAGTAATTTGCTTTGAATAATTAACGAAAAGTAGAATCAACTGAACCATATCGTATCTTAGGAATTATTTTACCATTATATTCATTATTTTTGTTTAAAATCATTATTTCTTTATATTATTACTCATAGACTTAGCTTAAATCTTAAAAATAATAATCAATTTCTGGAAGTAATAATAGTTGTCTTAGTGACAGAACAAGTTTAGCAACTATGCTCAACTAACCCCAACTCGGAATTTCGAAATAAAAGTGAGTTTATAAAAAACCGTGAGAATTATAGCCAGAATCTCTGTGCATATTAAAAGTACTATAATTATATTGAAGAATAACATTTACCTGATTAAAAATAAATAACATTTGACTAAACCAGACGAAAACTCGTGATGAATTACGTTTTTACTTTTGGTCTAAAATAAACAAAACGCCCGTGAGCCTCACTCATTTGTCCAGCGGCCACTAGCGATCGCGGGATATTTATTTCTCCCAAATCTCTATATTTCCGCCATATGATGCCTAAACGGACGGTGACGGTGAATAGTTTCGAGATATTTCGATTGCTCAACTTGCCCCTATGCTCAACTAGCCCCGCTCTACCCTATTGTCGACATGAAGAAAATTCCAAAAAAAGGAGACATAAAAGAATAAGTTTCAAATATTTCCTTGAAATTCCTGAACTGGTTATTTACATAAAATTATTTATTTTCTAATTTTATATCAGAGAACGTGAGCAAGCTGAAACTATGATAGACGAAGCCAAAAAAGCAATCAGGGAAAGAGATGTTTTAGCAAGACAAAGTGCTTTGCTCATACAAGATTATAAACATGATGGAGAAGAAGGCAGGATACTTAAATTATTGCAGGAGGTACAAACATAATATATTTGAAAATTATTTTTATGATTATCGAGCAACTGTGTACTCGTAGTCCAAATAATCTGGTATTCGAGATAGACAGATAACTCAAATAATTAACATAGTTAGAGATTTTAGTTCACGATTCCTTGAAACCAATTACTATCTATTTTTACAAATATACAGATCAGACATTCATTTTTGAATGGCGATGAAAACTATTAAAAAGTAGGCCATAATTATGCTCACAGAGTACATCAGAAATAGTGTCATTTTCCTTAATTTGATTTAATCATGATGATATGATTATATCTTATAATTGATATATTTTATGACTATTATATTTTTACCCAGGTTGGTGAGCTCAAAACAATGCTCGAATGGAACGAATGACCATCAAAGTCAAGTAGCAGATTTGCTGGTGAGGCATCTCTTTACTAAAATTTATTTAACTAATATTTAAATAAAATTTGTACAAAGGTGTAGGTATGTACAAAGCATTATAAATGCAATGTATTACTAAGCATGGCCTATATATAATTATTGATCTATATGGCATGATTATTATTATTTGTATATTTAGTAATTTCAGGCTATTTGCTTTTAGCTATAATTGTATGCACTCACAAAATGATATGAATGGGGGATTTGGTTTCTGTATTTCAAATCTGTTGTATAAATATTACTATATCTTATATAATTATTATTTGTATATACCAATATTGAAATCGAATCGTATTATAACCATTATGTTTGAATAAAAATGCAACGGAATGTAAAATTTTGGATTCACATAACGAGAACAACATGGATAATGCAACGATAAAAATGCTCAAAACAGAACAACGAATAATTTCACATATATGTTTCAATCGTCAGATAAGTGCTCATGATCAAATTATTTTTTAAGTATTGCTACATGCATCGCATAATATTTAATGTATAATGCAATCTTTTGAGGATATGATTTATTTGTAAAAAAAATGCAGCAATTAATATAAATTCATTCATAAAAATACTATAGCATTTATGCTCTGATGTCTAGAAATGTACCTCATATTTTATTTTTTCAAAATATCCTTTTCGTTATCAGATTTAAAATCAAACGTATC